TTATTTCACGAGGCTTTGATAAGTTCAGTATCCAGGGGTTTTTTTTGGGAGCCTTCCCTCCCTCCCTCCCTCTCCCTCTTGCCCCCAGAAGCTGAGCTGAAGGGAGAAGCCCGAGGCCTGGCTTCTTCTCACACAGCCGGGTGGGGTAGAGCTTTCATGTGGGCATTCGGCCCTCGGAGCAGCCTATCCGTACTTCTATTTCTTATTTTTGTCGGGGGAAGTAACCCTTGTCGAAAAGGGACCTGTCAGTCGATGCCGCCACCTTCCCAGCTGGAGCTGCAGCACCTGGGCTGGGCAGCTCACAATAGGCATGGGCCGCATCCTGAAGCAGCAGGACAGAACCGCCTTTGAAGCGGCTCCCCCAAGGGGCCCACCGGGCTCCTTCTCTTGACCCCTTTTGGCTTCAGGGAAGGACCTTCCTATTCCCCCCCTTTTAATAGTTGAAGCTATTTAAAGAGATTTTTATGGTATGTATTGTACTTCAGTGCTCCTGTGCCTTTGCCTTCGATTTATATGAACTGAGGTTACGTGGGCTTTTTCTGCATCTTTCTGTGTTTTTGTTGTTGTGGTATACGTGCCCAGTTTATGTTGTTGTTTTTATTGTGCGCGTTGTGCTTATTTCATTATCTGTTTTGTAACCCAGTTCCAGGAAACCATGGACTTCCTCACCTGCTTGAGCCAGCCGGCTGCTGACCCGTTGTTCAGCCGGACACACGAGGCAAAGCCTGCCCCCCGCAGCCCCTGCAGCCCAGCATCGTTTCCCGCAGGACCGGCTTGCAAAGCCCCGCAAAGCCCTGCTCGAGCACCATGCTTTAAACTCATCCACATACGTACCCATAGTAGGAAAAAGTGACCGGGGTTCTTTACCTTTAAACTAGACTTAAGGCTAGCAGTCCTTCAAACAGGGGAACCCCACTGAATAGTAGGAAACTGTCCACTGTAAAGGACGTTAACTGTAGCCCCCGTATTTTATCTATGTTCATTTTGAATTCCCGGATCAACTCTTTCTGGTGATCCATGGCCATGTCCTCGACACCTTTAAGGGTGAAGAGGAGGTTTGACCTGCCGGGTGCGGCTACAATTCGATCTCGTTAGTCATTATCCTCGTCTCCATCAGTGGCGAGGCCAATTTTTCTCCCCTAAAAGAAGCAACCATCCCCTTCAGACCTCAGTGGTTCTCTAGTGAGACTTGGGAGAGGCTCTGAGCCCGGAAGCGGATCGTTTTAAGAAGAAGCGCCGAGCAGCTGGAAGGAGCTCTCCAGGGGAGCCACGATCGTGCGGCCTTGCCTCGGATCTCCAGTGCCGAGGCTTCGAGCAGGGCCACTCCTGGCATGCAGCACAGGGACCCGCGTGCATCCCGAGCCCGCAGGTGAGGCCTCGAGCGAGGGGAAGCGAGCCTTTTTCCCACTCTTGCCATTTCCTAACAGCACATCAACAGGGGGAAATTCCCTGGCGGCAGCCAGTGCTCCTCTTCTTTTCTTTTCTTCTTTTCTTTGTTCTCAGCCTCCTTCTCCATAAATCCCACGCTGCTGGCCGGAGCAACCACTTTATTCTGGCCATCGTCCTTTGGCGGCTGCTGCTTCTCTCACCAGTGCCAGGTGCTATATATCAAACGCACAAATAAAGCCTTCTTCTCCAGAATTAATTTCCATCTGATTTATTTTTTTCAAGATCAGAACTTCTCTCTCTCATCCCCTCTCTCCTTCCTTCCTAAGCACAATCTCATGAATGTTTGCTTGGAAATAAATCCCCCACTTTGGTCATTTCAGTGAATTCCCAAGTGAGTTTGCTTAAAATTCCATCTGTCTGTTTATCTAGCTATTTCTATACTGCCCTTCAATTACAGAGCAATTAAAATTTAGTAAAATGATGAACAATAATAGAATTGAAAGAACAAAAAGGCAGAAAGAGCTTGCAGCCAGGTAGAAACAAACGGCAGGACTGGAATTGTGTCCGGGGGACCTGGAGAAGGGACGTGTTTGCTGCAACGCACAGAAAGGATCGCAAGGTGTCCCTCTCTGGCAAGGGCGGTCCAGGATCAGAGCACCACTGCTGAGAAGGCCCCGTCCATGGCAGCGGGCGGTTCTCCGAAGGCGCTCTGTTGATGGCACAGATGAACTTACACAGAGAAAGGCATGCGTGAATTGAATTCATTTATCCCATGCATGTCCACTGACTATGACCAAAAGTATTTCCAGGTACCCGAGTACAGGATTACAGCATAAGGTCTGGAAAGTTAACGTCATTCCTTTTTAAGACGGGAGTATAAATATTTTAGTTGACTAAGTCATGCCTTCTGCCAACTAGAAAATCTCAGAAACACTAAATGGAAGCTCGCGTGGACTTGTGGAGCACGGAGGCGGCTTCCTTGGGCTTTTTCCAGCGAGCTGCTCTTGCTCCCTCTCTTCCTGCTGCTATTTGGACAGTGATCCGAGTGACCCAAAGGAGGCTTTGATGGGGCTGCCCCAAAGGGCTGGAACACCTGCCAAGGAATCGCTCTCTGAGGAAAGAGCATTGACGACGAAGCCCGGAAGAGGGTCGTCGCGCTCCGAGGGGGAGATGCCCTCCAGCGGCAGTTCAGCCGAGCCCTTCCTGCTTCGTCCCAGTCCTTGCGGCCCCCGGAGCTTGGGGGCCTTTGGCCACGCTCTCAGGGCCTGGTCCTTGGACAGCTTGGGGCAAAAGTCTCGCCGCCGCTTGCTTGCCGGGCCCAGCCTGACAGGGAGTGTCTCGCTGCCGCTTCTCCCCATCACCGTGGTCGGGGTTGGAGCGAGAGGCGGGGAACAGCGGGCTCCACCGGTGCAGAGGAGGCGTCCACGGGGTCTCGACAGAAGGCTGTCCACTGTCTGCTGGGCCACGGGCAGTGGCTTGAGCACGCCTGCATCGTACCTCCCCTGCTCCCATCCAAAATTAAAACTCTCCCCGCTCGGTTTCGCATCGCCATCCTGCATGACCTTGCCCAGAGCGAGTCTTCCCTCCTCACACGGCATCGTTTCTGCAAGGGGTGGGGCAGCCGGAATCTGGAAAGGGAAGAGTTGTTTCTGCAGCCGGAATGTCGCAACAGAGTGGCGGTGAGCTGGGCGTGCGTTTCCCGGGCCCTCGGCTGCGGCGGCTGCGCTTCTGCTTCGCGCTCCTGCTTTCCCATTTCGTTCGATAAACACACTGCCCACTGATTTATCGTAGGAGCTGCTCTATTAATATCAAGGGCAGAATTGCTCCAGCCGTTCAGCTGCAGGGAGGCATGAAAAGATAGTTCATGGGCCGTGGCATGGACCATGCACCAAGGTCTGCGAGCGAATGCGCCTCCTTCCCGTCTCATGCTAACTGGACCGGCCCTGGCTGAGACTAGACTTCCCAGGCGCTTCTGTGGAGGCTGCCTGCCGTGGGCCGACCTCACGGAAAGCAGGATCCCGGAGTTCCAGCAGCTCCAGCTTTCCGGGAGCTGTGCAAAAGATCAGAGCTCCTCTGAGTCGGAGGCAGGTCCCAGCCTTGGAGGAGCAGATGTGATGTGCCCCTGGGCGGCAGGGGACGAGGTGGCTGGATGGGGTCACTGGGGCGGTGGGGGTGGGCGTGAGTGGACTCCGGGGGACGGTGGAGGACAGGAAGGCCTGGGGGACTGTTGTCCGTGGGGTTGGGAAGAGTCGGGCATGACTTTGCAACTGAACAACAACGCTTTAAAGGATCGGCGCTGCTGCTTTTACGTTGGGCTTGTTCTGCAGATGTGCTGAATTTCATGAAGCCCATGTATCTTCCCACCCTCCATCCATCTAATCTCTTATGGTTCTGCGTTGCGAACCGTCCAGAGAGCTTTGCCTGTTGGGCAAAACAGAATCAAGGTAATCAAATAACCCAGCCAGCAAGCCAGCCAAGGGTTGCTGCAGAAATCTGTTGCCACTCTGGCGCGATTGTCCCTCAGAAGTGCACCTGAGTAGCGCCTTAACCTTGTGGATCCGAGACCGGCCATTCCCTGCTTCGTGGCCCATGATGCTCTTCCAGCACTGCCGGTGTTTTCTGTTGGTAGCAACGATTCCCAAGCTCCGAGGTTGTTCCAGTTATGAGCTCGTGCTACTGCCGTGGCCTCATAATTGCAGTTTCCCTTCCACCCTTAATGCCACTGTAAATCAACTGCGCTATCTTCCCATGAGTCCTTGAGGTCCCCAGAAGATCCGTGCTGGGCCTCTGCAGCAGAGGAAGGTCAGACTTGGCACTTTGGCACCTAAAAATAGGCGCGACGCTTTTGGAGCTGAAACGCTCCCCATTCACAGCACTCTTTCTCTTTGGCACAAAAGGTGCATAATTGTAGGGCTAATTATTTCAAATATGCGACATCCACCCCTAAAGAGACCGGAATGTGCATTAGTCGCGAGGCCGGCGGTGGGGACCGTGCCATCTTTCACCTGTCTGGTTAGCGCCATGCGGCTTTCAGCCGCACAAAAGCCCTCCTGCGAGAAGGTGGCAGGAATGCGAAGGCTGTCTTTCTTCGTGGGAATAATAAGCATGTGCTCCGAGCAAAGAAAGCTTCATCAGCTCCCCGCTTCCCTGCAGAAATACAGCTGATGGCCTTGTCTTCAGAAAATCCAATTCTGTGTGAGTTGGAAGGTGGGCCCCTGATATATTATTAAAGAAAAGAGTGGAAATTGTATTGTCCTTATTTGAATCAAGCCTAGCAAATTTAATATGTATTTGATTGTACCAAAAGTAATATACATTTTAAAGAAGATGCAAACTCTCTCTCTCTCTCTCTCTCTCTCTCTCTCTCTCTCTCTCTCTCTCTCTCTCTCTCTCTGTGTGTGTGTGTGTGTGTGTGTGTGTGTGTGTGTGTGTGTGTGTGTTCTCACTCCTCCATATCTAAGTCCAAAGCATCCTTTAGAGACGGGTGGAAAGGACTAAGAGATGCTTCAACGCTAGGCAGGGTCCGCACCCCAGCAAACCCCAGCGAGAGCAGCCCTGCTTCCTCGCCACTGGTCCCTGCGTGGCCCCCACCTCTTGCTCCGGCCCAGACCATGGCGGAGGAGAAGGAGAAGGGAGCCAGGGTCCGGTGCCGTCCAGGCCCTCTGCCTGCCCGGCCCGATGGCGGCGGTGATGACGGGGAGGAGGCAGGGGGACCATCAGCCGGTCACACTGGCGGTGAATGGGAGGACTGTCCAAAGGGAATTCTGGCTTCTAGTGAAGACCATGTGTGCCTCTTCCAGCAGCCATTGTGCATGTATGTGCGTGCGAGAGAGAGAGAGAGAGAGAGAGAGAGAGAGAGAGGGAGGGAGGGAGGGAGGGAGGGAGGGAGGGAGGGGCAGAGAGAGGATGGAGTCACCCACCAAGCCTAACCCTTATCTACCACTACATTGTTTAACAGTCGAAGTGACCCCAGAAGGCTTTTTATTCCGAAGCAAGGCCGTTCTAGCGAAGAACCAGGAATTGGTTTATGCATGCAAAGGCTGCAAACCCTTTTCTGCCAAGGAAAACACATTCCTGGGTTTTATTTGTTTGTTTGCTTAAAGTTTTTATATGCCGTCCAATACCACAGTTTCTGGATGGCTTACAAAAAACCAACAACAACCCACCAACAAACAGCACAGGGCTTCCTGTGTGCTTGAAGGAATCCCGCTGATTAATCCCATGGGCACAGCCACCTTTCCGGGTGCCATTATGTCCCCGGCTCCAGCGGGTAGATTTGGGGGTCCTGGGAAAAACCGCAGCATGGACCTCAGGAACCGGAGGGCCGCTGGTTTGGAGAGGCTGCCTCCTTCGTCAGAGGCGGCGCTGGAGACTCGGCTGTTACACTGCATTTGTGATCATTTTTCTGCACAAGTGAGCAGGTGATGCTTGTGAGTTCCGTTTTATTTCGTGGCCACAGACCAGGAAGAAGCAGGTTCTTGGGGGCACGAGACCCTCAGCAGTTCCCAGGCCCGAAGCCGAGCTGGAGCGCTACATCCAGAGGTCTTCCCACACGCGCCCCACCTTTCGTCCCGGGCGGCCGGGCCCAGACTTCATGGGGTGGGTGCGACTCGCCTTCCGGGTTCTTGGAAGAGCCGGCTGTCCATGAGCACGGCACGGATTCCCATGAAGAACTAGGTCATACCCAAGCTTAAAGGAAGGGCAGCTCCGCTTCACGGACTCATGCAACTCATAACAATAACATGGTCAGATTAAATTTAAAGCTCAGCTGTCAGCAGTTGCCACTGAAGGAGGAAAATACGCTGGAGGTGGGCAGGGCGGGGAGGGGAGTATTTCTAACTTTCGGAGTAGAACAAGGGAACAAGGAAGGCCACCTTGATGAACCGAAGCAGAAAGGCCGTATAGTCATCCTGTGCGCTGCCTGGGTCGTGGGGTCTCTCCATTCAATGGACTCTGCCCTCGCTAGGGCAGGGGTGGGGGACTTCCGGCCCAGGGTTCAAATCTGACCCTCCCAGCATCCGCAGCAGACCATGCCCCCTTGCCCTGGCTTGGCCCTCCCCCAGGCCCCAATCCCTTGGTGATTTGCCGGCTTGTTTTCCTCCTACTGTAAAGGTGAATGCACCTTCCCTGAGGCTGCAGGTGGCAGTAGGAAGCCTGGCCTGCTCTCCTGGATGCTGGAGAAGCGCAGAGCACTCCAGCGTCTCTCCCTTTCCCGGCCGGCCTTCGAGAGACCTGCCGTCGGCACTTGGCTTGTATCCCCATGCAGAGAAACCACCTTTGTTTCTGGTATATATATTTTCTCTGTGGGGCACTCTGTGCATTCTGGGGACTGGAAGGCACCAATAGCTCCGCTGGAAAGGTTGGCAGCACATTTCTGGGTACAGGGGGTGGTTTTGTTTTGACAACAGCTTCGGTCTGTTTGTGGTTTTACGAATTGCTCCACGTGTCTGTAACTGACAGCATCATCATTCGACCCCTTCGAAGTTCATTGTATAATTCACACAATCAATATAATCAAAAGCAGCAGGAGAAATATAAGCAAGTCAATATGGCCGGTCCGGGCGAGCGAGGGAGAAATTCTGTACGCGCATGCAGAAATATTCGTTGCTTCAATTAACCTGGGAAAACGGCTCGAGTGGGGGCTGAAGCCTGTGGCACTCAGTATAACGTGATTCCAAAAATCTGTCTCCCAGATATCAAAGGTGATAAACCCACACCGGGGGCACAAACAGCGATGCACTTAGCGTGTAGCACACTTGTCAGGAAGATGCGATCGTGCATGGCAAGATCCCCTGCATCTCACACCCGAACAGCGCCAGACTTCGGCTTCCTGGCTTTGATCCCTGGTGTTGGGGTTGTGAGGAGGGAAAGAAGCCGCCATATATTTTCCAGAAAGAATTGCCTGGAAGTTGTCTGGTGTGTGTGTCTGTTTTGCAGAGAGACATTCTGCTGCCCATCAAATGAATTGAATCCTTGTAAAAAGCACTGAGTTCACAGTTTGGGAAGACTATTTTTCTAGAAGGATACATCATTTTAACCCTAATACAGAATCCGCTTCCCATTTTCCTTTAAAACTTGCAAGTTCCTGAATGTCAACGTGAGAATGAGAATCCACTGGGTTGCGATGCTGTCAGTCCGTCCGCCTCTCCGATGGCCTGGAACTCGCTCAGCGGAGGGAGACGAGGGGCTGGGCAGGGAAGCGCTGCGCTTGCGGGTGTGGTGTGATCTCATAAAACACCCGGGACAAATTTGGGATTGTTCTGTTCAGGGTTGAGCCTCAGGCCAGGGTTAGGGCCGGAGAAGTCCAGTTCCTCCACCCGTCCAGTGGGCCTGGAACTTGGAGGAACGGTTGGATCGGGAATGCCTAGGGGAGGCTCGGTTATGCCGAGGGCCCACTTCCCTGCAGAAGAGCGCTGACAAGAACCCTGCGAGTTCTCCCTGCTCGGCACCACTCCCGCCTGCCTGTTCCCCTGGCCGTCCCTCCAGTTCATTCCATGCTGGTTGTGAGAACGTGAGGCAAATGCAGCTGCGCGTTTGCTCACCGGATCTCAGCCTGCCGAGCAAGCAAGTCATTGCTGTAATGGGGATGCGGGCGAGACGCAGGAGGGGCCGGAGATGCTGGTGGGAAGCAGGCGGACTTGTTGGCGGAGGGCGGCTCGCGGAGGGTGTCTTGCTCAAAGGTCTTCGAAAACCAGGGCTTGGGGAAGAAAATCAATAAATCCTGCTTTAACTTAGCACACCAAAATCACAGGGAAGTCAGGGGGGAATTGCGTCCTTGCTGGAGAAAGGACAGCAGCGTGTAGGCAGTGGGTTAATGCTGCATTTCTTGACCACTAATGATGCTGTCACTGGGCTGTTCCCGGGGGGCTTGTCTCACACACAGTGGGACTCCAGGCAGCCAGGCTCCGAGTCGGGACGTCTGTGCTCTGGAGTGCCGGCTCCTTGGCACGTGCCTCTTGCGAGGCTTTGGATCTCGAGGAAGAGGCTTCCTCGGAATGGCTGCGTTCCCACTGGGGGCCTGGCTGAGCTGGAGACAAGCGAAGGGGCCGGGGACAGCGGTGGAGGCTGGGGAGGAACGTGAGGACTAGGGCCTGGTCACCCTGTGGAAGGTTAAATCTTGGAGGGGGGAGGGGGGAATGGACGTTCTGGGGAGAAAGTGTCCTCAGAGGTCCCCACGGGAATGATGCTATGCAGAAGCATGAAGGCTGCCTTGTCTCTCCGTTTCACTGGATTTTTCACTGCCGAAAACCCCCGGAGAGTTTGAAGACAGTGATGGAAGGGGGTGCAAAAGAATGTGGATCCTGCCCAAAGCTTAGCAGTGGAGTCCTGCAAAGATCCACTCGGGCTCAGCCCCACTGAGTTCAGCGGGACGTACCTACGAGGAAGTTAGGAGGAGACTGCAGGCTAAATGCGACATGAGCTTGCTTTGCACTGAACCGGGCACGGGGCGGGTCACCCGGGGTGGCCTCCTGCGGCTGGCCAAGGGGTCTTTTCCTAGCCCTGCTACCTAGGGAGATGGCCCCCTTTTAGCAGGAGAAAGCAAGGCTTAGACCTAGGACTCAGTGGAAATGCATGGAAAGCAAGATTTATGGAGTATCCCCCAAAGGAACTCATGAATAGCCAATCAGGCCATTGGGACATCTAAGGCACAATCCCACGGCAGGCTCAGGCAGAAGGAAAAGCGGAGCTGGCCCGGCCCGGCTGGGAGTTGTACGTTCTGGGCACCTTCTTCTGTGCATGCTCAGGTACCGTCTTCTTGTGTATGGACACATCTGGGGCGCATCAAGTTGTGGAGGGGCGGTTTAGAGGCAGATACCCCTTACAGGAACACATACAGCCAAAGGTAAATGACCAGAATATCTGAGATACGCACCTCCAGCCGAGGCCGTCCCTGTTGTTGGATTCAGGATTGTGTTCTACATCCAGCATGGTTTCTGAAAAGTCTGAAGCATTTTGCTGTGCCAGGTGAAAAACAGGCCCGCAGGTGGCCATGGGCCAGGGGGTATCGGCCCCCTTCCAGTTTCTCGGCCCCATTAACTGAATGGTCACTGTCCGTGGTCGAGACAGGAGCCTTACAAGCTCTTCCAGATGGCCACGCTGGCCGGCAGCGATGGAAGCCGCGGTCCCACGCCGTGGGTGGGCTTTGGGTGGACGACGCCTGGCCTGCACAGCCCCAGTGAACCCCCAGCCTCTTGCTTCCGTCGCTCCTATTTCAGGGCCTCTAGTGGAGTGGACAAAGTCGGAGGAGTGAAATATTCCCACATCCAAGCCATTGTTCCTGAATCGTGGACCTCCTCTCCATTTCTTGGACGGGATCGCTGCCAGCGTGTTGCTTTGGAGCTGCGCTCCCCTGGCACAAGCTAAAGAGGCGCTGGTGTGTCCCAGCGCCGTTGTTGTTGGCATCGTTCCCTTTCGTGCACGCACTTCTCCTCGCCCCTCCTTTCTCGAAATGGCAAAGTCGCACCTCTCCTCCACGTAGCCGGCTGGCGCAGGGGCTCCCTCTGCAAGCACCAGCTGCTAAACGGATCGTCTCGGCTGCTAGGCAGGGACTTTCTGTGGAGAAACAAAGCTTCTGCCGTACCAGAGAGGAGAGCGCTCTTCTGATGGATTCTGCTTCAGGGCTCGTGGAAGGAAGCCTTATTTTAATCTAGGGTCTATTGCTTTGCAGTGCACAAAAAAGATTGTAAGTCATTCAAGTGATGGGACAAATAGGAACAAGTGGAAAGACAGTATTT